TTAAAACTGCAACGTTACAGCCAAGTCTTTCAATAAATAGCACGCGCCATTTAGTGGTGCAGGGCAGAAATTGGAAACCACGGAAAATGGCGCAGCATGGAACGCATAGATAAAATAATAGAAAAAGGAAAATAAAAAACTTGCAGAATTATATCGCGCGAAATATAAAGTTTTATTTGGACAGCTTCGAAGATCGCGAGAAAATTGTGGGAAAGGAAAAATCAGTCGAAGGAACGAGCAAACGGGAACACAAAATGGCGCGTTTATTTCCGCCATTCTGTAATTTTATTTCGATAAATGAAATTATCCGCGAACAGAAATTCGGAAAAAAAAAGAAAATTACCCACGGTGCACACCTTTCATCCAGATGCATTATTTAGGAGGGAGACGCGAATAGGCCATTTTTCGAGATTGTCCCCATCAAGACTGCGTTATTCGACGCGGGGCCAGGTAATTTGCTTTTTTCGCGGGCTGGCTCGTTCCTCTGTCGCTGGCTGTTACTTTTCTTCTTGTTTCTTGAAAATTTAATCGCCGCGGCCGCGTCGCCCCTAATGCGATTCCCCGCGACTCACCCCGCACGCCCGGCGCGTAGCAAAATCTTCGCGAGACAAACTGCGACTTAAAAACGGTCCGGCAAGAACGTGGTTTCCTGCCAACTCGCCTTTGTGCCGGCCCAGAGACGGTTCTTCGGAGATCCGTGGTCGGAGATATTCCACAGTCGTGAAATCGAAGCTTCTAAGCGGCAGAAAAACGATCCATATCGATTTAGTGACATTTTCTAGTGACATTTTCTGGTGGTATTTTTGGTGACATTTTCTAGTGACATTTTCTGGTGACATTTTCTAGTGACATTTTCTGGGGATATTTTCTGGTGATATTTCTTGGGGACTTTTCTGGTGATCCCAAAATAGAAAATACGAATATCGACTGATATGCCCCAAGACCTTTTAGTCTGAACGACGACATTGCGCGATCACACTTTAACACTAGGTTTAGGGATATTGCTTGTATATCTATTTGAACATGAACGGAATCAGAAATTTTTCCTTAAAAGAACAACTTTAAATGCAATATAATTAGGCACTATTAACTTATAAATGATACTACAAGATGTACATATTTATATAACATTTGTAATATTCCTAGGGATTATTTTTATTTAAATCTAGACGGTTTCATCCTCGTGAAATTGGGAATACGTCAAAATGACGCGTCCCTGTCAATCCAGTGTTAAATTCTATAATTATCATTTAAAATTAAATCAGTAGTATTCAACCTTATCAAAGTCCACCAATTTAAACTCTCTGTACCGGAAACTCAATAAAGGCTATAGAGACTATATGCTTCTTCTATCCAAAAAGATACTATCTATTCAAGTCCACGTCAGACTGACAGAAAGTAGGATTCCAAAGGAACCAAAATGATGAAAATCAAAAGACATTCGACGATGGCTGTTCTCCCTTGTACCTTCAAGTAGTGCCCACTGTTTTCGCAGCACTAGTGGCAGCGTGACGTCGATAATGGTGATTTGACATCAAATTAACTCTCTGTCGGTAGTACAAACATGACGTCAATTTGACGTAATCCAGGATACCTAAATCTTGTAAGTATATTACTGACGGATACCTAGATCTCACTTCTGACGATACAGAGTCCATCCGACGTGCATCACCATTATTGTCGGGAGTCAAATCGACACACGTCACCGCTCTCACATTAAACCTAACCACAGAAACATCGAGCACACCCTCCTTTCATGAATCGTTGCACGTTAATTCGTGCGCCATAAACTTTCGAGACAATTCGCCGGAGAAGAAAGGAGAGAGGATAGACAGAGAACGGAGTGGCGTTTAAAAATTGCACCGTTGATTCGACGAAAGATTAAATCCGTGACAAAGTGAAAATTCGCAGAGGCCCTTCACGAGGAACGTTCGCGAAGAACCGGTTATTGGCTGAGCACTTTAAGCGGAAAATTCGAACGCTTTAACAAGCCCGAGAGAGCGGGACATTTTTATTTCGCCTCCAATTGACTCGCGCCCCTAATTGGCCCTTTCTAGGTAACCACCGACCGTTTCAAGCGCGGGCAACTGTTCAATTTATCGCGGCACCAATGGCGGAAAAACGAACCGCCGCGACCCCTCCAACTGGCGCGCCCTTTGGCAAATAATTCAGGATTAAGGCTTAAAAAGTAGCGGCCAAGTTTACGGAAACGGGCTCGCGGCCGTGGCGAGGACTTGGCAAAGCGACCGGAAGCGGAGGACTCGACATTTTTGCCGGAAATAACGAGCCGAGTTACCTGCACTCGCGCACAAAAGTATCCGAACGCCTGCGTTTCTCGCGTCCAACTGAGATATTCATGATACGTCGAAATGAACCGTTTCAAACCACGCGTAGTAAGGAGAAAGCTCCGGGATTATGCCAGTAAAATTGGAAATAATTCAACGACGTGTACAGTGGCTCGCGAAAAAATTCATTTCAACGATATACATATTTATTTCCAGAGAGTACTCTGGCTGGAAAATTCGGATTCTAATGAAAGCACACCAGTACGTAAAGCATGACGAATTACACATGGATCAATTCCCCGTTTTTCCCTTTTTTTGTTTGCAAATATTACCGGACATACGTAGGTGAAATCGTGACAGGAGCAAAGCTCTTCGAACTGTGTCAGCTTATAGTAATAATTTTTCCCCGACAGACCCCGTTTAAGCAGCAGAAAAATTGCTGCGACTCGAATCGTCGTTTCCCATCGATTTTACTGCAATTTTTGACCGGCAAAAAGTTACTCCAAAAATTTCTGTATTTATATTACAACTCTTAATTTTCTTTTTCCACCAAAGAACCCGGAATTGTTATTACGAAGTAATCTAAATGCGACGTGCATGCGTGAAATATTAAATTCCTGGTACTTCTTGAAATATCTGTAAATCCACGTTAATAAAGGAAGATAAATATTGACGATGCAGGTACATTTTTCATTATTTCTATGTGAATGTACATACATACACGTGTCTCCCATAGTTACTTCGATTTTTCCATTTCCCTCTGCTTTTTTCATCGCTTTTATTCGGTTGTAATTAAGAAAGGGGGGCACAGGAGGGGGTGTCGCGAGATCGCTCGGTCGAGCTTCTAATTGGAGAGGAGAGCCTGGGGTTCCACACGAGGGTGACCGGTAACACGCCGGCCCCGATGGAACCGCGACAGAGTTTGATTAATACCGCACGCTTCCGGAAGTCTGCGGCAAATGGATTTTCGATATGGCCGCGCCGCCATCCGAGGCTATCGCGGGATTAATTCTTCCCTTGACATTTCAACCCTTCGTTCAACTCCATTTTTAACTGCCTCAAAGGAACCCCCACGTTCGCGTCCATTTTCTCCGCTAATTTCCACGTCCTCCGACACCATCGTCGGCTTTTCAACCGATTTTCGGTGAATCCACTTTGACACCCGACTCGGAAAATTCGCGGGAACCTTTTTCCAATGGTATTCCGTGGCATCGCGATATTGTTTGTCGCGAAATTTGACCGGTTTTCGAGGAGTCAAGTCGACGAAACGATATTTCGGTTTCCGATCTCCCCTTTGCTATCCGATGATCGATAGTCGTTCGATAGATGGAATTTTTTCGGTCGAAAAGGTGCAGAAATGGCAGCGTTCGCGGAGCCAGGGAAATTCGAGAGAACGAGTGGAGGATTCCAGAAGGAAGAGGAATAAGTGTACGTATATCGGGTGGCGTGTTAAATTTTCATTCAGCGGGTACAAACCGGGCGCATAGAGAGGGCGCTGGTATTAAATGCCGAGACGTTTCAGACGCCCTTACCCCCGGGAAATCTAGCTCGCAATCTTGCGCTCCAACTGTAGCCAGATTATCGGAAATCTGGCGTTCGCGCGGGTTTACGACGCGTCAATCCGTATTGAAAACCGAGCAACGCTTTAAGGTGCTTGAGAACGGACCTTAATTATTCATGCATCGACTAGCCGCCAAGATAATAAACCTTTCATCCCCCTGATCCTGAGTAATGCATCTCGAGATATCCAATTCGACAAAATATCTTTCGAGGACACTTCCTAGCAACGATGGGTTCAAATCTCGGGAAATTTAACCCTTTGCACTGCGAAAGCCAGTCTACTTTGTCAAACCTCGCTATTGGGATCCACGCTTAATACGTCTTGACAGGCACCAGATTCGAAGAATTTCTAAAATTTTTATCTCGCAAAATTTAACTCTTTGCACTGTAATAACTAGCCTACTTTGTGTCAAACCTCGCGATTGGGATCCACGCTTAATGCGTCTTGACAGGCACCAGATTCGAAGAATTTCTAAAATTTTTATCTCGCAAAATTTAACTCTTTGCACTGTAATAACTAGCCTACTTTGTGTCAAACCTCGCGATTGGGATCCACGCTTAATGCGTCTTGACAGGCACCAGATTCGAAGAATTTCTAAAATTTTTATCTCGCAAAATTTAACTCTTTGCACTGTAATAACTAGCCTACCTAGCGTCAAACTTCGCGATTGGGACCTCGCGTCACATCTTGACAGGCACCAGATTCGAAGAATTTCTAAAATTTTTATCTCGCAAAATTTAACTCTTTGCACTGTAATAACTAGCCTACTTTGCGTCAAACTTCGCGATTGGGACCTCGCGACACATCTTGACAGGCACCAGATTCCAAGAACTTCTAAAATTTTTATCTCGCAAAATAAATATACCGTGATTGAATTAAACGCTTCTTTAATACTTGATAATTAACCCTCTGCACTCGGCAATTTCTTCATCCCAAGGAAATAGCAATTTCAGGACTTTCTGCTAGGAAGTCAACGATATTTGAAATCGTAGAATAATTTTACTTCCAAATTCCACGTATCGTTGTACTATTCAAAATCTGACATATCAATTAACATCGATCTTTGTAATTTGGAAAATTCCAAAATTGCCTGCCGAGTGCATAGGGTGAATTCGTAGTGCAAGGGGTTAATTTATCTTTCTTTTAATTTACAGGCGGCATCAGTTCCGCAAACCCAAGCCCGACCTGGACTACCGCGACGACGATGATGCTAGCCCTGGCAGCGATCGTGTTTCTTCTCTCCTCTTCGATGACGATGACCGTGGCGCCGACCAGCAGCTCGTCGGAGCCGATCCTCGCCGGCAGGTAGCTCGTACGCGTCCACCAGTACACCGCTGCCACTGTCTGACCCGGTTTAAAAAAACAAGAAAAGAAAAAAAAAAGAAAGAAAGAGAAAAAACATCGTCCATGTAAAACCTAGTAGTCTAGGGCTTCCAGTTATGTATGTTACTATGTATGGAGTAGATAGCTCGAATAACAATTGATTTTTATTCACGAGTGGGCCTGTGTGTTAAGCGGGAGGTCGAGGCAACGTCGAGATGAATATCGAGCAGGGATATCGACGAGGAAATTCTCGCCTAAATATATATAAATATACACGTATACATACATGTAACTCTCGTTCCGCGGGCAATACGCGTCAAGTCCTATTTCCCCACGCGGAGAAAGGCGATGCGAGCGAGTTTCACTCGACGAGAGACGATTGTTCACCCGATTTTCTCAAATTTATACGAAGAGGAACGACGAGCACCGCCTGATCGGTCGAGATCGAGGGAAAACGGACGGAAGTCTCGTTGTAACCTCCTGTACGCGATGCACGCCCCTGCGAGAAGACAAAATGGCGGTCGGGCACGCTGACCGTCTTGCTTCGTTCTTCATTTCCGGTCATTGTCCTTTTTCGTCTTTGTTTCCGTTGGTGATCTTCGTTCCGATTGGGTTCCGGTTAAGCGCGTGTTCGTTTAGCAACCCCAGTGTTCATCGAGCGTCGAGGATATATAGGTATAACATACAGGGGTAATTAATATTAACTGAGTACGAATAACGTTAGCGACGAACGGCGTTCTGCTCAATATCCGCTCCTTTTAAGATGTCTAACGAGGAACGCGACACCATAGGTACCGATTTGTAATCTGTACAAATTGTAATAAATTACCATACGAAGTACGATTCGATCAGCGGTGTTCATTCTTTTCGATCCTCCTTGTTCTACCGTGTCAAATTTTGGAAGATTAACCCTTGGCACTCGAGAGGCTATCCTTAGACACCCTTTGATAAAATTTTATGGATCGATATTAATTAATATATCAAATTTGAAATAATGCAACAGTGTGCGAGGTATCGAAATTAAATAACTCTATGTAGTAATTATTATACGATTTTTGATTTATTGCTCGAAAAATTATTGGCAGCTCGATAGCGATCTTTGACTTTTTAGATTTCCCTAGCCAAAGGATTGTCGAGTGCGAAGGGTTAATTTTGCTCCAGGTAAGTATGCACGGATTCTTCGTTTCCCTCTCTTTCAGTATACTTGAATTTATAATTTATAAATTTATGAATATAATTTATTATAATTTATAAATTTCAGTATACTTAAATTTATCATCGTTCTTGAGTCGTAGTAAATAATTTCCAACTCTGATGTCCTGAAAAATAATTTGCGATTCGTCATACTAAATACTTCCAGATTTATTTTATACAATTTTACGAATTTGGATTATTTCCGAATATTTTTTGGGATCGTTATCGGTACTATAACCGATTGGAGGATCAGAATAGATAGAAACCATCAGTCGCACTGGCGTGGTAAAGTTCCTAAATCGCATGGGAGAGAACGAAAAATGAAACAGTGGCTAGTTGGCGAAGGTATGCGAATTGCGCGGAATCGGGGGAAAATTTTGCACCCTCGGGACCACCCTTAGATCCCCCGTATCCTGGTCGCGGTTCGTCGGCGAAATAGGTAACGAGAGCGTGAAACGAGCAACGAGAACGCCGTTATTAAATTCCTCGGGCCGGCGGCGTGCGAGCTAACGATTATCGGTTTATGTAAATACCGCGAGCAGGCACGTGCACGCGGCCGCACAGCGAATTAAACGATGAATCCAGTAAATTCGATTTAACGAGCCGATAAACCTTCCCGCCAGCCCGAAACTCTTTCGACGCAATTACGCCGGGGCAAACAGTCACGTTTCAACGGCATAATTCATATCTTTGCCGATATATTTCGACGCTGGTCCGAGCCACGAGTGCACTCCAACGTTCACGAGTGGCCATTCCGGAGGAACCTTCTTTCTTATTGCATCGATCTCCGCTACGACCCTGCACGCTCCATTCTCCCTTTAAGCCCGCCCAAAGATTTTTCTGCCCTCAGAGATCGATAATAATGCCGCGAGGGATACTATATCCCAGTCTGGAAACGCGACCCCTGCTTGTTAGCATTCTCGAGCACCGTCGGAGGCAATTATCCTCGCGCCATTTTGTTTCCTCGCCATTTCGCGGCGCTTCGGTTCAAGTCTGGCTAGGAAGAACTTTCGTGAGAGACTAGCCTGTGATCCGAAGACAGAGGCCACTGTTGCGTATGAAGGAATACCTAGATATAGTAGGAACTAACTAGGTAACTGGGAATTACTATATAGTACAAGGTACTATAGTACTGCACTATACTATATTACTATATTATACTATACTTCTATAATATATTACTATACTATACTATATTACTATAGTACTATAGTAGTGGGAATACTTAAGTATAGTAGGCACTAACTAGGTAACTAGGAATATCTATATAGTACTGGGTACTATATTACTATACTATACTATATTACTATAGTGCTATAGTAGTAGTACTAGCACAACGAAATACGATTATATATGCTATAAAATAGAAATGAACCTATGTCGTGGGCATTAAAGAACGAAAGCACTATGTCGCGTTAATACTAGCTTTACTACGAGATGGGGGCTGGTACAGAGGGCACGGTATCTGTCTTCGAAAAGCTCTGCCCCAAACTTAATTCGCGAACGAACTGTTTTTTCCAAAGCCCGGCACAAAAATTCGAGATGGTCCGCGTGTCCACGAGTCATGGAATGCTAGGCCGTAAAGACATAAACTGGACCCCCATTGACTTTGGACCCTCTATGTTTCTAGGAGTGGGAACAATATCTGGCCTATCCTTTTCCGCATCCACGGATGCGTTCCTACAGGTATTTCCAAATTGATTTTCCGAAGAACACGGGATAAGGTAATCCGCAAATATCAGAGCGCGAGAGATGACAGAGACTGGATTCCGAGAACGGTATAATCAAGAACAATGCACGGTCCCTCCAATTATTCAAACAGAACTCTGAGCGTTTAATTAATCCCATATTTCCGCTCTGCGGAATATCATTCCGCGGGGTCTTTCGTCACGGTACACTTGTACATCCGCGCAGCTTGACAGTAAACTGGTAAATAAAACCAGACACGAGTCCAAACTCGTCGATCCTAGACCTTTCTGGTGCCCCAGTCGCCTGTACAAAGGTAGCCAATCAAGTCACGAGGGACTCGTCCCTCCAGAAATTACGATAAACTTGCTGCCTGCAACCCTTACCCGAATTCTCCCTAAACGCTGTGACCGTTGTGACCGGTACCCCCTGATATAATCACGAGAAGCTCGGGGTCCGGATAATTTCACAGACTCGCCTAATGCAGTGCTCCTGTCGGGTTGGTAAATATTCGCATTAAAATTCAGTGGAGGCTATCAACGGTCCAGGGGGTGGGATTAACATGGTGGACGCAGGAGCAAGTCGAAAACGGCAGTAGTCTAGATCAAGCTCTAGGCATCCGCGCCAGACCAGCACCACGTGCCGCGGAACACGTGCGAGAGAGCCTTTAATTTCGACGACAAGCCAGATGGGCCGAATGACTGCTCTCTTTTCTTTCTCTTCCATGCTGCTTTACGACCGGTACGTTCTTGATTAACGTCGATTCCACTGTGGTCTACCCGTCACCTTTTCATTTTCTTCCCTCTTCCTCTCCTTTTTTCGTCCCGCTCTGTGACCGCCAGTCCGGGGACCAATTTGTCCACGCTGCGGACTCGAACGGTTCAAGCGAGCTTGGAAAAAGGTTTTGCCTTCGGTGCGTTCATTCTCGTGCTTGGGGATAAGGAGGGGGACAATGGTTGCGGACGTTGTCTCTTCGCGTGTTAATCTTGGGCGGTTAAGAAGAAAAGTGGGGTTGGGGGTTCCAGGTCTGTTTCTCGGATACGGTAGCCTGTTTGGGAGGACGAAGAAGATCTCAGGACAGTTTTGAGACAGTTAGAGCGTAATTGCTCGCATCTGAGTCTAGAAAGGAACATGGTGGGATGCTTCCGGACGTTTCCTCTTGCTGTGTTAATTTTAGGTGGCCGGCAAGAGAAGTAGGGTAGGAATAGCAGTTCCAGGTCGGTTTCTCGGACGCGATAGCCTGTTTGGGAGGATAAAGAACATCTTGGGACAGTTTTAGGAACGTTGAAGCGTAGTTGCTAGGAGTGGACCAGGGTCCAGCAGAGGAACATCTTGCGGGAAATTGATTTCCACGTGGCCGTGCCTTAATATCGCGCAGGACACCCAGCTACGCCTAATCTACGCCGATAATCTCGACAGAGTTTATTACGGGCCGACTATGTTTCACCGATAATTGGCGAATTAATATCTCTTCGGGGGTATTAAGGACGGGGTAGATCGCCTCGAAGCAGGACTTATCGCGGACCACGTTCCCCGGTACCTTGGCAGAGCTTTGGGGCACAGGAAGGCGTGTGAAGTTTATTCCCAACTAGGACTATCGATTATAGAGCCCCGTTGGATAGTACATGAGAGTCTGAGAGCCGGGTTGAACCTAACAGATTCTCGTTTTAACGCTTGATTCACAGGTACAACGACGATGAAACGTATTGCGATGACAATAACGAAGGATAGACGTGCTTTGCCGTACTCCGTGAGGATTAAGAATTATAATTCACTCAAGGATACAGATTATGGATAACGTTACCTATGACCAGGCTCAACAGGCGGGATGCACGTGTGACTGATATAGAGAAACGTTAAATAGACGTCCACTCATAAATCATGACCAAAGTAATACCAAAATGAAACTTCTCTGATATTTTCCCACTACTCAACCAAAGGTCCTGCCAAAACACCTCTGTTCAATCAAAAACTCTATCTTTCCTTCATTCACAACCACTCTAAACCAATCAATGCAAACCGTGAGGAGAGACCAGACAGAACACGACTAGACAAGACAGATGTTAATTAGAACTCGAAGACATCACGTTAGACGAAAACTAGATGTCAATC